GCTGGTAACCAATGGCGATGTGACCATAGCATGGCAGTCTTCCAGAATTTCCTTTCTGAATCCTGGAGGAAAAACTGGAACGTCATTTGCAGTAAGTCTGTAGGTAAGTGAGCAGTACTTCTCTCTGAAATGGTTCCATTTGAACTGAAAAATGCACATAAAAATGTAGTCCCATTTGAAACAATGACGGTCCCTCCGAAAGCCAGAGCGCCAATCCCTGCCATTAGTCAGCCCTGGGCTGTGTCACAGAAAAATCACCGGTGCCTAACTGCTCTCCTCAGTTCAGGAACGATTTTCTCCATGTGGTCAAAGAAACCTAGTTCAAATCACACAGAATCAATTGGATTTGGTCAAAAACAGAAATTTAACTAAAAGAGAACTTTGCCCTGAAGCCCCAAAATGTCACGATTTTCCCCAATTCTTAACAAATAATTAATGAAAGAACTTTTAAAAATTGAAACATTATTTTAAATACTCGCCAACATTCTGAAAGCGTGATCTCATACCTATACAAAACAAACACACGTACTTCAAAAGTATGTTTTCCTTTGATTTGTTCCTTGCCTGGGAAGTCCTCATGTTGTCAGCCACACTTGTTTCGTCCCTTTATAAAAACCAGAGCTGGCATTCTGAGGGTGGGGGGCAGAGCGTCAGGAACCAGTAGAGAAAACTGGATATTTGGGGGGGTTACCAGCACTGGGGAACGGCGAGAAGATAATACTGCAAACCTCGTAGGGCTGAGAGTGGTGTAACAGGGGCCTGATGGAATGTTCTGGCAAATATGGAGCAGGTGAGGTAATGGAGGAAGGAGAAGCGATGTGGCTGCCCCTCCGGTCTGGCTTCTTCCTCCCAGGGGCAGCAGACAGGCAGGAAGACAAAGAAACATCCAGCCTCCTGGGCCTGACAGCCACGTGTGAACGTGCACGGAGCCACACGCATGCTGGTGGCATCAGACAAGAATGGATGAATTAATTCATGGATGAATTAGATAGATCGAAATTTAAAACTACTTACCATGATGTAATGTACACGTCAAGGTCTAGCTAGATAAAGAGGGACGAGGACCCGCGGGAGCTTTGAAACTCGCTGCCTCCCATCTCGGCGTCCGCTCAGTGCGCGTTTTCCATCCCCCGCCCGCAGGGAACCACGAGGCAGGCCCGGCGGCGCCCCACCGTCCTCCCGTCCGTCTGAATCGCAGGGGCAGCGGCGCGGGCGGGCCCGGGCCAGGCGGGCACCCGAGCACCCCCGCCCCGGGGCAGCGGGGCCCAGGGCGGCTCAGACGCGCGCGGGACGTGCGCGCCGCGGACCGAGACGGGGACGCCGCCGGGGACCTCGCCCTGGCCGTCTGCCTGTCGGTGGCCATCACGTTCCTCGCGGCTTTCTGCCTGGGGGCTTTCGCGAGGCCTTACCTCGACAGACTGTGGCGACAGAGTCGCTGCCGCAGATGTCGCGGAGGCCCCGGCTCGGAGCGCGCCTGTTCCAACGCGGGCCTGCACCGGGACGTCGGAGCCGCGGGGAGCGCGCAGCGCCCGAAGACGCCCCCGCGCCAGGCCGCCCGCGCCCCGAACCCCTACGAGAACCCGGGCTGGCTCCGGGCCGCAGCGCCCAGCCCGCACGCGGCCGCCGTTCCTGGCGGGACTCCGGGAGGGAGCGGCGCGGAGCCGGGCAGCTGGGGACCGAGCGGGGGCGACAACGCGCTTCCCGGGGACAGCGCGGCGCGCTCCCGTCCCCGCCCGCATCCCGACGCCGGCGACCACGGCCCGGCGTCAGCCGCGCAGGGCCGCATCGGCAGGAATGATGTTCCTGGGGGCCGGGATTATGACACCGTGGCCCAAGAACAGCCTCTCGCCGAACCTCCAGGGGGCGTCTCATCCCAAACCGTCTCGGGCTCCCGCCCCACGGACGCCGACCGGGACCCCTCGCTCTCAAGGTCAGTGGCACCTTCTGGCTGGGAAATGCGAACGCATCTCACAGCACCGAGGCCTGGAGAGAGCGCGGAGAGAGGGGACGCCGAGCCGCCACCGCGGGAGAGTGCGGGCCGGCCGCCGGGGTTTTCCGGGGAAATACCCGCGAGCGCTCCCGACGGCCTGCGGGCCCATGCCGAGGAAGAGCTTCCGGCCTCCTGCGGAGCGGGGACGCGCAGCGACCCGGGACACACGGACCCATCGGCCTTTCCTCCCACCTGGGGCAGCGGCCTGGATGCCACTCCTGCTGACGAGGCGCCAGTGCAGACATCTGCTCCTTGCGACACTCAGCCCGAGCTGGAGAGCGACGATGAAGGCTCCTTGTTCACTCTGAGTTCAGGGAGTTCAGAGGGTGCCAGGAGCGTGACTGAAGAAGAGGCGCTCGGCGGGGACAGCTGCGAGGCCGGGGAGCCCCTGCAGGACCAGAGCTCAGGGGCAAGCAGGGACAATGTCACCTTCCAGAATATTCTAGGGAGATGTGAGAATCAGGAAGATCAGTTTGAAAAACCTCTCATTTCTGGTCCAGACTCTGGTTTGTGCAAGACTCACCTGGAAAATGTCTCTAACATCGATAAATTTGAGGATCCATCACCCCTGCCCAGATCACTGGGGAACAGTCCTCCAGGGGATGAGAGTCCGGGCATGCATGTTTATGACTATGACACAGTGCCTCAGTCCGCGGTAACAAAATGGCTTTACTCACTTAAAGACTTGGTATTTTCAGATGTGGACATCGTACCACAAACGCCACCACATTCTGCAGACCTTCCCTCAGATCCTGATGAGGGGACCTGCTATGAAAGAGACTCAGACATTTGTAAACAAAAACCTTTCATGCAGGGAATAGACACAGCTCAAAGAGATACTCCTTTCGAGATCACTACAGGGGAAACCGTAGGACCTTCACAGCAAGATCCTGAAGGAGACGTGAATTCCAACGAGCTGGAAACTGATGCAGATGATGGGCTTGTACATCCACTGGAGGCCTGTGATTCCAGACAGGTTACAAGCCAAACACAATTGTCACAATCCTATGGTGATGAACCTGCTCTTCAGAGTGAACGAGGAGGAGGGGACTGTTTCGAAGATGGTTCCAAGAACCATGCACCATTATTACAAGAGCTTCCAAATGAAACCCGTTCCCTAAGCATACAAGAGCGCTTCAGTGGCAGAGATTGGGGTGAATGTTCAGAGGAGAATCTGTTGCACTTACAAAAAGATGATTCTAACTTTCATTCTCAAATGCAGACCCAGAGCAATCGGATGGGGGTCGGCTCTCTATATGAAGAACAGCTAAACCATGACAAAGACAAGAACGTTCAACCTGATAATCAAACGGAATTCAAGTGACACTTTTCGTACATATTAAAGCACTTACATGGAAATGCGTAACAGATATTGATGAATTCAGCACGAACACTTGCACAACTTTTTGGAGGTTGATCATGAAACTGCGAAATTGAAAGAATTTAGAGCAACTAAATATTTTTAATAAGTTGTGTTAAAAGAGAAGAAGGATGGTTTTCTAGAATGAAATGTAAATTAAAAACCAATTTTCAAGAAAAGAATTGATGTTGTCTGTAAAAGATATCAAAATTGCTGTAGATACATTTTTCTGTTACCTCAGCATCAGTTCATTCATGTTTATCACATTCCCTGGATGCCGTCCACACGCCCTTCAGCCACCGAGAAATGAGCTTCCGATGCTGGACGATGAGAAATAACATCGAGAATTATGCAGAGAATAACAAATCCTTATCCCCATCTATTCTTTTTTTCAAATTTGTCATTCTGTCCGTTCTTATCGCTAGTGTAGGCAACTGCACTGACAGTAGGAAGTATTATTCCAATTTGGAGCAGTTTCCAGTTGAATAATGAAATCAGACCCGGAAGAGCCCACCATTCAGACTCACCTATTCTGTAGATGAGGAAAGTAAAACACAGATTAGTAAATTTACGTGCCTAGGGTCACCCCACTAGTTCTTGTTCCCAAGCAGAATTCACTTTCTTCCCGTCAATGAGGACAACCTTTCTTTATCCTTACATCTTCCACTCCGGCTGTCTGCCTTCTGCGGGCTTGCTCACTGGATAGGAAGCCCTGCCACCCAGGAGAGTTAGGAAGCATCCTTTCCAGAATGTCACAGCATCTTGCAGACACTCTTTTCCAAGAGGAGCAGCTGCCTGTGGCAGCAAATGCCATATCTGACATCCTAACTGCTCCCCGCACCGTGACAGTGGGTGGGATTTGCAGCCGGATTGAGCCTCGTGCTCTTTCCCCAGGACCAGCCTGCGTCTTCCTCCTTTCGCAGTCTGAGACGGGCTCTGCAGAGCCAGCTTCAGAGACCGGCGCTTCCATGTCCTCCTCCCTCCATCACTCCCTGAGGTGCACATTTTTCCGTTCCACACCATGCCTTTCCCACATGGGTCTCTCCCTCAGGTTTACCTGGGCACACCTTGTACCAGGCAGCAGGGAACGCCTACGTGCATGAAAGCAATAACAGCACAAATGGCCCTCGATTTCCTTTTTATTAAAAAAAGTAGCTGGAATGTGTTTGTTCTGAAACTGTTCCCGCTAAAGACAGCCTCAACCCAGCATGCTCTGTCAAAAGTCTCCCACAACGGAAGGAGGTATCACCCAGCACTGCTGGCTCAAACTGTGAGGTCAATTAGGGCTGCCAGATTTAGCCAGTAAAAACACAGCCTGCCCAGTTGAGTTTGCATTTCAGATAAACAAATACTTTCTTAGTATGTAAGCATGTCCCATGCAATATTTGGGACCTCTTTATACTATTTTTCATTGTTTATCTGAAATTCAGCTTGCATTGGGTGAGCTGTATTTTCTCCAGCAATCCTATTTTAATATTCAAATAAAATGAACTGGAAAACCTTTCACTCAATGTACAGAGAGGTTCTGCAGTTCCAGCAAGGGAGGGAAGAAAGCGCGTATTTCTGAGCTGCATTTGCTGCGGCAGAGAAGTGATCAGACGTCTGATAAGTTCTGCATGAGGCATTAAGCACATACCACCGGTGCCTGCAAAAGCGCTTCTGTCAAAACTCGAGGCAGTGATTTACAAAGCGGTAAAAATGGGAATCCACTCCCACCGAAATGGGGGAGGTGCGGGGACCCAGAACACCAAGTCCTGCCTGTAGTTGCCAAGGAAAAACAAAATAAAACAGGACAAAACAAAATACTGCAAAAGTGTTTCCTTGCACAGAAGCAAAGAGTTACTTGTAGGGAGGGTGGATTATGTAAAAGCTTGGGGAGTTTCGAAAAAGGAGAGCCTTCCATTGTGTACGTTCCACCACTAGCAGCCAGGCCGCTCGCACACGTACCTCTCCACCTACCCTGGACTTCATGGCTTCAAAATGCAGCCGCTTTTACTTTAGCTGACTCAGCAGCCTGGGAGGTATTACTTTTCGTTAATTCCATTTAAAATACCGTAAGCACATTGAAAAATACCACAAGCACTGCTTTGGCTTGCTACATTGTATGCACACGTGCGTGGGAATGCTCTTATATTTACCACTCAATTCAACTGAACGCCTCTAATGTGCAAAATGTGTAAGCCACGGGATGAGGGTGGGGTGTGAGGGAGAAGGAGGGTGGTAGGGGTTGGTGCAACACAATCTTGCCCTTGGAGAGGGCACAGAATCCAGTGGGAAAGGCTCACCAAGACAAACTTCCTACGCCAGAAGCACAAACATGATGTCCAGAGAGACCAATTCCATGTTTTGGAAAAGCGGGGCAGAGGAGAGGGAGTAGGACTGAGAGCCTAGAGAGGTGGGGAGTATGCATGCTACACTTCTGTCCATATTTTAAAATAATTTATGGATTTATGCAGAAGAAACGCCAATGTGTTGTTTAGACCACATATCTAAATAATAAATGTTAAATTGCATTCAAAACTACCCAAATGTAATGGGCTACGGCTCTACGTGGGTCAGTAGAGGAAAAATCGATTTGCAAATTCATCAACCAGATTCAATTTACATTTAGTTATGAAGCCCTAACCATTTAGAACGATCTAAATCTACAGATGAAAGCATGTGGAAATTTTATCTTTGAGTATGTAACGTTATAAACTGCAATATGTAAGCGAAATTCAACACGCCAGAGGAAATGCAAATACACACTCATTTGTATGTGAATAAGATTACCATTTTTAAAAAATGAAATGTTTTCTTTTAAAAAATTGTGAATCCTGACCCAGAAGGGAATGCATAGATCGCCTTTTGTCATTCTCCATTAAAAAGCTAGCTCGGAATCTCTGTCTCGTTGCTTATTTTAAAAGAACAAAGGAGAATCCCCACATCTCGTCAAGTCCTGAAGCAGCAACCATGAAACTGGAGAACTCCGCGGGCACACAAGAGGCTGCACTGTTCAAGTACTATCCTCCCAGAGACTTCCCATCAAATCATTGTTCATTGAAGTATTTTCTTGTGTGTTTTCTGTTTTCCCAATAAACGCAAAAATCTTCTTTGTCTTGATCACTGCAGCACACCTGGGCAGGGGACAGTGCCTAGCACACAATAGGTGTTCTGTCAACATTTGTTGATTGAACAAATAAATTTTGACTCCAGATAAGCCAAATAGAAACAGCGTTTTTTAACATACCACGTTGGAAGGGCACACATGTTACTGATGGGCGTGAGGTCCCAGACTAGTCAATTTCAGAAGTGACAGAAGAACAATGCATCCGATCTCCTCTACTCATGACTTCAGGTGATTTCTTTGGAAGCATCCCCATATTCCAAAAGATTGAAAAAATTAGAAGTATATTTACTATTCCCAAGTTTCAGTCTAACTTTTTCTTCACTTAAAACATTTCCATAAAATTTCAAGCGAGAGGGAGCTACCGAGTACTGGCTCTCTGACAATTTTCAGCATTGGAAGGAAGACGACTTGCTTTGAACCAACTTTTATATGCTTTGGTGAAAAGAAATACATCTGTAATTGTACTTTTGAAAGGAGTTGCGTAAGGATTCCTGGGGATTGTGATCTGGTATGCGCTCCAACAGAGTGGTGGGAGGAAAAGGAAACTATTAACTGTCCTTACTTTTAAAGTGTGCAAGGTTAAGTATGCCTGCGAGGGTTGCGCATGCGCCCTTGGAAAGAGGGAAGGGAGAGGTGTTTTTCCACTTACTCTTTCCAGCTTTCCCTCTCTGCCCACATCCTTAGCACAGTGCACCTGGCTCTACCCTGATCTTCCAGCTAGGCTGAATGCTATGTATCCCTCCTTCCCTCTCCAATGCCCTAACCCTGTCTGGGCCACTTTGCTTCTCCGAGCTACCTTGCACCAGGTACAGACAAATCTCTGGTCCCCTCAGTGCAGCGCAGCAGGGTTTAGAGATTTTCAGGAAGAACTTTATTGAGAACTTAAAGGAGGGACTGGTACTGAGCTGGTATTCACCAGTGTGATCCTACTGGCTGTAAAGACACTGCGACACTTCTGTGCCAGCCGGCATTCAACAGCTTGCCCTCAACCCTGAAGGTCCCCCATCAAAGGGGGAACACCCGCGACAGCAGCGGGGGGCGACTCCAGCTCCCTGCCTCAGCGCTGGGCATGCATCCGTCCAGCTGGTTAGTGCCTGGACTTCCGCATCCTTGCATATCACCTCATGCGAGGGAGAATGAATAAAATTACACGTTCCAGAGCTCAGATTCCTCGTTTGAGGTTGAGGAAGACAGAGACCCGCAGGCTTTCACTGCCTGGGGGACACACCAAGGCTGTCCCCACAGAGCGGCCTGACACAGGTAAGCTCCCTTGCTGATGGAAGCGGGGATGCTTCCCTCCTCCTCCTGTTTCTAGCCTAGAACTTGGCACCAGGCCTCCTGGCCCAGTGGTTCCCAAACAGCCACGAGGATCGGCGCCCCTCTGTGAGGAAGGTTTTACCAACCTGCTGAGGTGTGAGAGACGCAAGAAATACACTCAGCGTTTTATATTTTTTTAAAAAGGAAAGTGATGGCTTCATTTGATTTTTTTAATTGTGAAACACACATAACATTTTCCATCTTAACCATTTTTAAGTGTACAGTTCGGTAGCGTTCAGTATATCAACATTGCTGTGCAATGGGTCTCCACAATCTTTCGTCTTGCAAAACTGAAACTCTGTCCCCGTTCCATTCCTGTAAATGGGATCATACAGTATTTGTCACTTCGTGACTGCTCATTTCACTTCGTCTCACGCTCTCAAAGTTTAGCCATGTTGTAGCATGTGTCGGAATTCCTTTCCTTTTCAAGGCTGAGTAATAGTCCATGTGTGAACAGACCATATTCTGCTGTCTGTTCACCCGCCATGGACACTTGGGCTGCTTCCACCCGTTAGCTATTGTGCATAGCACCGTTACG